AAGGGACAACGTCGGTGCCACGGCAGCACCCTCCTGGACGCAAACTGGATAGTAGATGTCCTAGATGATGTGAGGCCTCTAAAGCTGATTTAGAAGTAAAAGCCCACCATTAAAAGTTGGTCATTCGCATGTATATCGAATGCCCTAGCCCAAAAAAATGAGAACCTGAAGACGACAAATTTGCATGTCTTTTAAGTGTCGGCATTAAATTAACGTGCCAAGGAGGTAAAGTGATTGTTGGATCCCAGAGCGGTAAGGGTGATTGTGTTGACGCGTGGAGATATGCGCTCTGATGCATTTTGGGATCCGAGATACAAGACACTCAAGCGAGTAGGGGAGACAATTGTAGGCAAGCTAGCGAGTAAGGGAGAAATTATCGGTTGTCATGCACTAGTTGCTAATAAAATCTCGAAAGTTAGTAGAAGTCAGCCATACTTCAATTGAAGTCACTATGTCATCGCCTCGCAAGACTGCTGCAACCCATAGAAGCACTCAATCCGTACGCTGGCCTGCACAATCACACATCCGATCACAAATATCATGAAACATCCAACCACGGAAATACGGCACTATGTACCATACCTTTAGCAAGGGGAATTTGCCCTATATTTCGATGGCTATGAGGGGGTTGTAAGTAAGATCCCCATTCTCGTGATTGAGAATAACCTTACCGGACATTATTCTCAGCTGAATACTCAACACTTGTGGATGGGATCTGTGATGATCGTTGATGAACCCACTTCCAGTAGCTCATCGGAAACTGCACAATACGTCTCGACTACAAAGTATTCCAGCAGGCGGCGAGGTTAGTGACACCACCAAATTGCTAGGTTCTGACAAAACTTACAGAATTTGAAGATGGACATTTTCCGTATCATTCCGGAACTAAATGCAATGGCCGATGTTGGCGAAGACATTGGGGGCAGTCGGACTGCGAAATATCTGTGTCCGAAGAAGCGAATACTTATTCGCTCCCTGCAGAAGGCAGTCAGTAAGTGTATTGATAGTTCTTGTGAAGGAGGGCATCTACAACCAACCTTTTACAAGAACACATCTATATGGTGCTCGAAGTTGTACTGCTGGATATCGGGGTCAGCGAGATCATGCCTAATCATTATCCAAAAGACGTAAGGCGGTTGATTTTAATTTCACGGTAATCGCTGATGAGATTTATTATCAGAAATTAGAACAATAGCGATGGCAGTAGCCCACCTGTGGCAGTACAATCCCTATCTACTAAAACAATTGCAAGCTCAGTCCGACTAAGCTCCCCGGTAGGGATGCCAGGAGGATACCCAGAGAGTGAGACGCTGCCACAAAAAGGATGCCAGTAGGATACCCAGAGAGTGAGACACGTGTTCTCAGCACAAATACACAGACTGTATAATATGAATTAGTAGCTACTGATGATGAGCGCTGCAATTACTCATGGGCTAGCATATCTACCATACTTGGTACAAAGTAATGCCAGGAGATGCAAAAACGACCAAGTAAGCGGAGATCGACTTAATATAGAGAATGACTGACACATTTCAACTCCGCTTGAATGGCAGAGCCTACATATAATGATAGACATAGCATAGGTAGTACAATTGGCAATGGCAATGGCATACAGTGATGTGATATTGTACAATACAACTGACAATGACTGATTTCACTTGTGTGCAACCATGATTTCCATCCTCTGGAACTTTGTGTTAGATACCTTGAACGTTGAACATTGCTTACTCAACCACAATGGATTGTAGAATGCTCTAGGTAGAGCTGCGACTGCTGGTCATAAGGACTCCCGCTTAGGGTTGTGACGATGCTTTGCAGGCTTGCTTCCCCTTGGAGTGAAGATTGCAGCACCTGCGAAACATTGTGCGTCAACAATTTTTCATCTCATGACTGAAATCAGCTCTCCACGGCATGCTTTTCAACCGAAGAGCCTGAACTTCGCAGTCATCGACGTCACTCTCGTCAGAGCTCATCCCATCTTTACCCAGTGTCTCCACAATGGAGTTCAAATACACCCATACAGGTAGATCATCTTTTCCCGTCACTTTCTGATCACTGAGCAGGGTTGACGTGACCTTTCGGCAAGTTTCGAACTTCTAAGGAGCAACTCAACTATTAACAACTCGATCAACAACAAAACCAAAAAAATGACTTACTGTTGCCCTACGAGTCAGGACCCTAGCCAGTCGCAGTCTTTCGTTTGTCCGATCTACCAAACGATCTCCCACTTCTTGCATACTCTCACAAGTGCCATCATTGCGGAGGAGAGGCTGGGCCTTTCTCCAGCACTTGCGACATTGATCAAATTTTAATATGATATCGTTTGTGATTGACTGATGGGACCTTGCGGACCAGTGGTTCTTCTCCTCCATGGATATATAGATAGACAAGAGTATGTCGGTGACTCATTGGTTCCAATCTGATTTGTGTGTGGCCATTATATCCCACTGCAGCGTAAGTGGATCTGGACCATGACCCATACCGTCTATGAAAGATGTGACGGCTTCCCACGATGCCCCACTATAAGCATATAGTCCTCATCTTTCGTGAGATGGAACATCGCTTTGAATAGCTCGCGGACATTCACCTGATGTGGTATTAGCGATGTCATCAGAAAGAGCGAGTTGCGCACCTTGTTATCTTGATGTTGAACATCAGTGAAATATTCTACAGGGCAGTCAGCCTTCTTACGTCTAGAGCGAGGTCCAGGATGGAAAGTAATTTGTTGACGCTGAAGAGACTTTGCGAGTGCCTCAACGAGCATTCCGACCGTGGCATTCTCGATCGGAACATCCGCCAATAATGATGTCAGGGGACGTCCAGCGTCACCACTGCCGGCGATCTGAGGCTCTTCGTCTACAGGAGAATCTGAATCCTCATCAAGAATCTGGGAAATAAAGTGTGATGAGTTATAATATGGAGGTGCAACAAGTATTGCCTTACTGGCGAATACCCGATTATGTTGGTGCATGTGGCGATAGGCTTTTTACCTGTGAGATGACGCCATGCAGGTGGTGACACAGACACTGCAACTTGTGCTTGTCGGATTTGACTCTGTAAAATTATCAGAACCTCATCCCGCTCACATTATGATACGCACATCCAGTGAGGCATTCTTGAAATTATACTGAGCAGTCAAGCGGGTCAATTCCATCTCGTTTTCAACCAACATCTTTTCTCTGCTATGGCAGTCTCGCGCAGATATACAGCCTCTTTCTCTGCCAATACATGATCTCGCTCCACGTGTGCAGTATTTTGTACTTCATCAATGCCAAGTGTCATCCGGTTCTACACATGAATGTTACGACAGTCCACATTGTTAAATAAAGTTGGTTTACCTGGAGTGTGACAATTTTGTTGTGGTGCTGCTGCTCCAATGAGGTAATGGCCTCGACTTTCTCGAGTTCAAGGGATTCAAGTTTCTGACGATACTGATCAATGACTGATTGCATCTCCGACTCCCGCAAGTTGGCATTTCTCTGGAGGCGAGTAAGACAAGAACATAAGCTACTTGAAACAACACCTTACCTGAGCATAGCGCTTTCGGAGTAACAGTTCATGTTTGCTGTACTGTAGTTCACGAACGTTATCGCGCAGCCTAGCTGACTGATCAACTTCTTTAAAAAGGACCTTGGTAGGCTAAATATTTGTTAGCTGGGATACAAATACATAGATATTGTAAGGCTGACGCGATCAATATCATCATCTCTTGGCCTACGGACGGTCTCCCAGGGGTTATATAGCGACATCACAAAGTCCTCATTGGGCAGGGCAGCAGGCTTGGGTGGGTAAGCGTGAACTGAGGTTGTAATAGGCTGGGGTGGATATGTGTGCACAGGACGAAGCTCATGGAGGGAGTATGACTCGACAGATGGATCAGGATCATCATCGTCAGGATGGGAGGAAACAAAAGTCATCAGACAGGACATCTTGTCTTAGAAGACGAGTCAGCATTTCCACAATTTATTTGAAAAGACTTGCTCACTTAATAGGCCAAATAGATGATACAACAATATCCGGTATCACGGGGGTTGTAAGAAGCAGCAGGACAATATTCGGTTGGTACAATATACAATGAAATGAATCCGATACCACTCATGATCAAACTATTTCCTAATTCCACTTCCATCTATTTCTTCTTAGTTGCTTTTTGTCGTTCCTTGGCAGAGAGATTTTTAAGTTGCATCTGAATTACATCTCCCACTGGCCAACAGTCTTGATAGTCATGTAATTCAGGAAAGTGTGCGATGACCTCAAATGGAAGTAAGTTAAAAAGAAGTGTAGATTTCATAGACATACATCGTTCTGAACAGAAATCAATGCAGTAGGTAATTGGTGCATTTTGCTCTTGCGAGTGTCGCAATGCTTGTTGATAGATCGGTGAACGGACTCCTAACGTCATGAATATCATGAATATACATAGGAATGCATCGATAATTTACTATATCTTACCTTGAACTGTTTGAAGCGAAGAGCATCCCAATGGAGTGTATCTTCCAAGTTATATCCACCATGACCCGGACGCCCTGCCTCACCCTCTGGTTTGAGAATTTTCGATGTATTGGAATTCATGGACGTGATGGAAGAGCACATGGACAACTGGTCTAGCTCACCGAGCTGCGACACATGCTCGGCTGAGAAGGAAACTGCTTTGGTGACTTTGGGAGTGGAAGGGCGAGAAGAGATAGGTGTGGTTGTACGAAACGATGTGCCAGTGAAGATACGCAAAGGAGGAGGAAGAACGCATTGACCTGCACCAAACCGGTTCGGTGCATGGATGACTAATGCTCTCTCACGAGCCCGATACCCTAGAAATCATTATGAACAATCTTCCTTTACTTTATGGTTCAGACTGCAGTTCAGATAGTATTTTCATTTTCTCAGACAGACTCAGATAGGCTGAATATTCTTGTATATTTAATTTTGCGGTAAATTCTGCTTAGTCAGCAATAACAATGACTCAGACTGAATCCCACACATGTCAAGTAACAGTGTAAAATAGTTCTTGCATAATTTGCCTTGTGGGAACTTTCTTAACACTCTAAATACACGGCTCGCGTCATTTCTACGGTCAATAAAGTAACATTATAACAAGACACCAACAAATAACATAATCAGTCTGTTACTTAATATTTGTCACATGATACTAAGTTATATGACTCTAACAGTCAGGTGACCTATGACCCTAAACCAAATCATGACAAAGCAACCTTTTTGAGATGACTAAAGCTTGATGACACAAATTATAAAGCACATGACTACAGTAAATAGTATTGGTACAATCTGACTAAGCCTATTCCCCTTAGAACGTGGGAAATAGTAACACAGCCACCATAATTTATCTATATAAGACCCCACTTTTTGCCAATAAAAAAAGCATACAGGGAACTTTTAAGCCCCACAAAATAAATTTGAGTGTGAAGTGTGATCAGTATCAACAACAGTGACAAGAGCTGTTAAGCAACTAACTGAGAGGTCATTGTAAGCAACATCCAGCAATACCTTTAGCTCATCGTCAACAACTGTGAAATATCTTGAGCTCACTGTGCTCAACAGTGAGCAAACTTTTTCTTTGATTTTCTACTGGTGAACCTCTAGTCTCTTTCTTTTCTTTTCTTTTCTTTTCTTTCTTCTTTCTCTCTTTCTTTTTCTGTTTCTTTGTTTGTTTGTTTCTTTTCATTTGTCTCTTTTTCTGTTCAGTTCATTCACGTCTCAGTGTTATTGTCTGAATTTGTTTCAAGATCTTTGTGTTGTCTTTACATCCATCTAAGCACCGGCTTAGTGGGAAGACTTCAGAAGTTGATAGTGACGCTTGACCTCACTCATCTGAGTAGTGATACTGAGCCAGGGTTTTCTTTGTCTGCTAGACTTTAGTTGTTGAATAGGGGACTTGGTACTGAAATCCAAGGACGTCCGTTCCTGATTCTGTTTAATACTCATCGTGAGTTCCTTGGCAGCAGGTTCAATAGTGAACTAAGAGTTCTACTGATCACTGATTAGTCCTGACCTTTGATTCTACCTGTTTGTGCTGAGGGGGTGATTGCTATAATTTCGCACGACTTTCTGTAGTAAATTTATTACAAGAAGCATTGTTACTGAAGGAAGGGTTTCCCTTATCAATCTATTTCTTTTTTTTCAGTACCATACTGTTGGGCTGACTTTTCTCTGTTCTCTAAACACTGCCATACCATTGGAGTGAATCAATTTCTTTTTGTCATCACCATACCGTTGGGCTGACTACATTCTGTTTATTTTATTTTCTATTGCGTCCATACTGTTGGATTGACTGGTATTGCTACTGACCTCACAGGAAGTATTTTTGTCTGAACATAGCTTGGGGAAGTGTAAACAGCCACCCACGAACAACCACGTTATCAGTCATTGGTATTTGTCTGAATCACTGACCGTGGAGATTTTTGATTTTGTAGGTGTTTATCTATAGATCATCTATCTAAGAAGACAGCGTCCCCTAAGTGTAGAAAACGATATCTCTTCTTGCGAGGATATCAAGACAAACAAAGTAGTCGGATAAAGTAATTCTGTGTGATATGTCAACAATGGAAGCGACTGTGGAGGACCATTTGCCTGATGGAAAGCAGGGACGGGCACAGATGTATGAGACATGACTGACTGTCCGAACACTCAAGTGATTCTTTATCACAAATGATTAGAATAGTGTCTGATCGTGAAACAAGCGCCTGACGGGAGAACAAAGTTGCCAAGGAGATGTTGCCGCCAAGCGTTGTTATTGTATATCCATCTGCGCTGGTGTAATTGTGTGGTCAGCCGTTAAAGACCGTCAACATATAAGGGATTGACTTACATCACGGACCACCGATGTTTTTGCTATGCACGAACGATCACAAGGAATATCGCCTTGAAGGGCATCTCGTTGGACACAAAAATGCGATTAATTGCCTGTCCGTCTCAAGTAAAGGCACTCTATTGGCAAGCGGGGGTGAGTTTTGTATATGTCAGCCTACAACGAAACTCACTAGGGACTAGGCTCGGATGGCATGAGGGTCTGGGACCTCAAACAGCGACTTCAGCTCCCAACTCCTCGTCACGTCGTAGGCATTCAAAATCCAGCGGATCCCGTAACATGCGCATGCTGGATCACCCGCCAAGAGGTGACGTGCGAGACATTGTGCTACGGTACAGGACTGGGCTTCATTGGCATTTGGCAACAGCATGGCGAAGGTTTACAAGACTTTGACGCCAAAATATCAAGAAGAATTGGCACAGGCAAAGAGATTATGTGTCTTGCCTATGATCATTATGGGAATGACACCCAAATTGCTACTGGGACACACGACAAACATGTTCAAGTCTGGTCATTTGACTTCAAGGGTCCATTAGTTCCTATCTTCAGCATTGAGCTCTCTACGACGATCCCACGCATGATTAACTTCAATCGCACCAACAGTCGACACATATTGGTCTTTGGCATGTATGATGGAGAGGTGTAGTTCAATATAGCTATCCTCAAAATGATTCTGACTACGTACTAGGCATCAGCTCCACGGCACAGATGGAGTTATTGTTGCTACACACAATGCTGGACCGCTGATGTCAGTGATATAATTGGATATAGTTGGCGTTCCTTACAATTTCACCAAAGCAGACATGCCTCCGTAGACATCACTCAAACATTATTCCTCATCGACAATGTGATGAACGGATTCAGCTTGCACCGACTGGATGACGGAGTGTGCATCCGAACCTACAATACCAACCCTGTCAAGACATTTCCTAAGCAGGTAATGTTTGGCGAAAATACAGACGTAGTGGTTGGAGGCAGTGACGCAGGAGTCATCTACGTTTTTGACAAGAACAAGGGTACACTTAAGCAAGTGTTAAAACATGCAAACAAGGCGCGAGTGCAAACTGTGACAGTACGCTCTTTCCATGAATAAGATGACATATGTCTAACAGATTGTAAGACCTACGATGATGCACATTATAGTGTAATTGTTGGGGCAACATCACAGAATGATGCAGAGGCCATTATCTCTGTCTGGAGTCGCCAATGGGACAATCATGCGACCCCACATCGCCTAGGAACCGCACTCAAACACTTCGCACGGGGAATTGTTCAGCTAACCATCGCAATGGCTCTGTTGATATACATTAGCAATGTCGTAAGTTGGATCTAATGTTAAGCCACACACAGACTTACCACGATGTAGCTTATCAGCCAACGTATGATAATGAACACATCAGTGAGCTCATTCGTGTCGCTTGGAC